ATGGAAGGAAGAACAATAACCTGGAGCTGTCCTCCCTGGGCTTCCTTAAAAAAGCTCTCTTTTTCTTTACTGCAGACATTCTGCTTTTTGCTTCAGATTTAATGCTTCCTTAAAGCTGTTTCTACTTTCTACTCTAGAGGAGAGGTAACTAACTAGGTGTTAGTAGTTTTCAGATAATGAGGGTTTCCTTTTTGTTTGTTGAGATTATTAATAATTATTTTCTTTTAGAAGTATTTGAAGGAGAGGAAGGGAAGGAGAAAAGAAGCTAAAAATGTGACTTTCCTAAACCCCTGCACTCGCATCCTACCCCCCCATCCCGCACGTCCCCAACTCCCAGTCAGTCCCATTAAATAAAAAGAATCAATAAAATCAAATCAAATCAAAAAGATTAAGCTCTGATGCCAAGTAGAGGAGGAGGAGCCAAGATTGGCTGCCATGTGGTCCCATAACAGATGGGAATCCATGATGGATGGGCCCTTGCCGTTATGAACACCTGAACTAACCGAAGAAGCCAGATTGGCTGAAGGAAACAGCTAAAAATGGATCCGGGCTCAAGTGTGATAACATTATTTGTGTGGAATAGCTTAAAAACTGGTAACATCATTACATTTTTGCATAAAGCCACCTTGAGTCGCTTTTGGGTCGAGAAAGGTGGGATAGAAATAACGTTAATAATAATAATAATAATAATGCATACAAATGCATATATCTTGCTCCTGATTTTGGAAAGTCATTTGATGATAAAGAGTATTTTTGAAAATAGAATAACAGAAAAGCAATACATTTACTATGATACTGCTCTTTAAGTAACGTGTTAGGGCTAACATGTAACTTCTGGGAAAATAACAATAATTTAGCAAGGATAGGCTAGCTACCGGTTAGTTGAATTGCTGTCCTGAAATAATTTATCAACTTTTGTGGCTCCTGTTTGCTTTTCTGCTAGCACTTCTAAGTGTTGCGGCTTCTATTTCTGAAACAATGCTTACAAGGATCAGGAGTGGTTTGGGCTGGCCTCTGTTTTTTGTGTTTCAGCACCAGGCTTCATGCTTCAACAGATGTTCAGAGTGTACCTTGTATTTGTACTCCAAAAGCCAGGCTATATTTGTATTCTCATTACTTTCTGTTCTCACGTTATTAACTTTGTTTGCTCCCAATCTGTGTACATAAATACATATATTTGTGCATGCTAGTATCTTCAGAGATATCTTTTGTAAGATAAGCCAAAGAGTTTCTAAGATAAAAACCAATTTCTATTAGCTAACTTGATGGTGATTTGTTTATTTTTTTCAGTTCACTGACAAGTGACTTTTGCTTATGTTTAAGGTGAAAAGGATTATATGTTCATTCATATAAAGCAGGATGATATTAATATTTGTCTTCCCTTGACTTGTTGCTTGTCCTTGTATTTTAAATTGTGGTGACATTTATATGTGTCTTTCCATTAATTCTGTATGCACTACTGTACATACTATTTGACTTGCTGACATTAAAATTATGACTAGGTATTTGGTCCAATTCTTATGCAAGGCGTTAATCATTTGATCATCTTTAGAAAGCAAATACAGTGCCAATCCCTATTGTGTAATAAGTCTCCTCCATTGTGCATTTTAAGCTTGTGGCCTTATTTGGTGTCTCACATGTGGCTTTTTAACCCCAGAAATAGTCACTTTGACGTCAGATAGGTTCCTTGTCTTTCCCTTCCCTTTTATTGGCCCCAGTGAATCCACATTACCCAAAATTACAGAACTATGATTCCTTTCCTACACAGACAGTCCCCCAAGTTATAAAAATCCAACTTGCAAGTGACTCGTAGCTAAGAATGGAGGTGAGACAATAGGAAGTGAGAGAAATCTACTTTCTCGGAAGGACAATTCACGTCTGAAAGGCTTCCTCACCAATCCTTGTTTCCATATCAAGCTAAATTTTTCAAAACCCATTTCTCACAGAAGCAGAAACTAAGGTGTAATCTTCTGAACAGGGGCACAGAAATCAAAACAAACACCACAGAAATATTAACCCTTCCCTATGTTATCCAAGGGAGCCCCTGGTGGCGTAGTGGGTTAAAGCACTGAGCTGCTGAGCTTGTTGATCAAAAGGTCACAGGTTCGATTCCGGGGAGCGGCGTGAGCTTCCGCTGTCAGCCCTTAGCTTCTGGCAACCTAGCAGTTCGAAAACATGCAAATGTGAGTAGATCAATAGGTACCGCTCCAGCGGGAAGGTAACGGCGCTCCATGCAGTCATGCCAGCCACATGACCTTGGAGGTGTCTATGGACAACGCTGGCTCTTCGGCTTAGAAATGGAGATGAGCATCACACCCCAGAATCAGACATGACTGGACTTAATGTCAGGGGACAACCTTTACCTTTATCTGCCTATGTTATCCAGACATACACACACCACACACACTTGGAATTACACTTAAAAATGTGAGTATTCCGACTTACATACAACTTAAGAACAAACCTACGGAACCTATTTTGTTTGTAATTTGGGGACTGCCTGTGTTCTAATTGTCTTGTTGTCTACTGGGGTGACAATAAATGGGATCTTTGAGGGCATCACCTCTTTTATCCTCCTCAAACTATCATTTCTGTTTTGCAAGAAGCTTTGCATGCTTTATAAAATTGCATTAGTGGCCAGGCAAAATACACACCAGTGACAGCCAATGCATCAGCACTCATTAGAAGCTGTTGCTTCAAGTTAGCTATTGATAAGAAATTTTGTATTGTGTGAAATGTACCCATCTTCATCTTTAATTAGAAGGGCTTGATGTTTAAGAAGTAGAGGAATGCAAAAGAGAAAGACAAGCACGTACTTTTTTGAACAGGACTATAATGTAATTTCCCTAGTGTAAATATTGCATGATAAAACATACCATTTAAACTCTCTCTTTTGATGCTAATTTCCTGTGGATCAAATGATTATTGAAGCAGCTGTGTTATCTGAAAAACAGAAAAAAAAATCAAAGTTCTTTCTAAACAGTGAAGGAAAATCCAGTGACTCAGTCTCCTTCCACACAGCTGAATAAAATCCCACATTATCTGCTTTGAACTGGAATATATAGCAGTGTGGATTCAGATAACCCAGTTCAAAGCAGATATTGTGGGGTTTTCTGCCTTGATATTCTGGGTTATATGGCTGTGTAGAAGGGCCCTCAGGCATGCAGGTTTTCCTAACTCCCATGCGTATCTTTAACACACTTGGTTCATTCTGTTTCTCTCTTGGGGGAAAAGCTTCCTTTTACCCTCCTCAAGTTTTCTTCCTGATTACTCAGAATTTGGATCAAGAATGTTCTGGAAATCTCTACATCACATTCTTACCAAAAGTGTGTCATGTAAAATTGTTCAGTGTACTAAATAAATGATCTAAATGCTGTAACTTACTTGAACGGATCGACATCACTATCTGAATATCAGAGAGAACCGCACCTTATAACTGTCACTTGTTTAAGATTGACTTCACTATCCTGTCTACTGTTAGGGAGTATTTAGGATTCACAACATTTTTCTACTTCCCTGTGTTATGTAATAATATTCTGAATTGAAAGTTTATTATTGAGATAGAAGTTTAAAGAGAGATTTATATATTGAAAGTCTGCCCTCCAGATTTCCAGGTTTATTTGCAAATTTGATTTCCTTTAGCAATCTCTAGGTCCACTAGTCTAGTGCAGCCCTTTGTTAAGCTCCACTGAAAAAAATGTTTATAGAGAATAGATTCATGGACCTAGATATTTTTAGCAAGAACACCTCTCTAGGTGTTGGTAGATCCTCCAGGTGATTTTGTGGCTAGCCTCCAATGGAGGTTGACCATAGGACTGTGCCTGGGGACCTAAGTATTTAATCAGTTTTTAAAAAAATTGTATTTGTGGTTTTCTTCTTTCAAAGAAGTCTTGCACCCTTATCACTCATGAAATCGGAGGGCTTGCTGTTGTTCTTTCATCATCAAGTACCTTTTGACAGTAACGGCGGCTCCTTTTATATCTTGGCCATGTAGGAAATCTTGGAGTTCAGATTTTGAACTTTTCCATCTCTGTGTTGATGTGTGCTCCAAAAACATATTAAATCATTAGCAAGACAGCTAGATATCTAAATATTATCCATACTGTTTTCTTAAGAAATCATCACTCATTAGAAAAACGGTGAATTTATCTTTCATGTTTGCTAGAAACATTCTTACCGGTTGTTCTGCTTTAGGTTATTAGGAGAGGGAGTTAGTTCCCGTCACCTCCCAGATAATATTGTCACATCATCTAATTGGGAGATCCTGGGAGATATAATAATAGAAAAGCAACTTTTCAAAGCTCTGTTTATGCTATTTTATGCTTTAAAAGAAAGATTCTTTGGATAAGTTATTTGAGTCTAGGGCAAAATAGACACATGTTGCTCATGATAACATGCACAGTGCATATGCTTTTTTCCTAATTGGAAGTGATACTGGTATTTTATCAGACTATACAAAATTAAACAAGCATCTACATTTGAGAAAAGGGAACGATTATTTTATGTCCTACCTTTGTACTGAGTATGATTTAAAAAAAGTCTTTCAAGTAGAGTTGCTCTTGTAGAGAATACAAAGTCTGAATAATTTCATGCATTGAATACTTCGAAGCATTCTGTATTCAAAGTAAGCATCCCATTGATTTTTGTGGAACTTATCACACAGGTATACTTGGCAATGCAAAAGATTGATGACAGTTTTGATACCCCATTTAGCCATTTTGTGGGCGTTTAAGTACTCATGCCTCCTCTCCCACCTCTGTAGTAGGTCAAAACAAAGCACCAGCTAATTATTTGGTAAAATATGGATGGATCTTTAAAATACCACATCAAGCTACAGCTTATCATCTCTAGTTTAGAGACACAGGTGGCTTGAGATAAAGACATGCCAAGTAAGCAAAAGTCTAAACAATCATTCTTTTCTATGTGAAAAAATACACAATGCCTCATGAAATAGGTGCTAGCATTCTTAAAATGTTTTCTTTCTTTCTTTCTGTTCTTAGATGCATTCCAAGGGTGCAGAAACTTTTGCATCCATGTTAAGACGCTCTCCTTTAATACAGATGGGACCCGCCAAAGACAAAATTGTCCTTGGAGAAATTTTTCACATTGTAGAAGATGATCTCTATATAGATTTTGGTGCCAAATTTCACTGTGTATGCAAGCGACCAGAGGTAGATGGCAAGTAAGTAGCACGGCTATGATGTGTGATGAGAGCAGAATGTTTATGCATTGTAGTGAAAGTCTCTGTGTAACTCTTAACTGTTGAATGATTGGTCTTCATATTTTAATATTTGAAAACCAAAGTACTTATTTTGTTTTAGACTTTCTCAAACACTGGATTGTTCCTTCTCCTTCCAGGGCAATGAACAATAAAATATTATTATATTTCATGTTAGAATAGGTACCTCACTAAGTAACAGAAAGATGAATAAACAATTTCACACTGTTGCCTAATGTAGCCACATACCTGTAGAATTGCCTTTTTGCCCTTACTGGACTGCAGAGGAAGAGGAGCCAAAATAGCCAGTCATTGTTCAGTTCAGTATGTCCTCTTTGGGGATATGTTCAAAGACCCTAAGTGGATATCTGAAAGAGTGGATAATAATGAATCCTATATTTTGACAATGTTTTAGCTGGAAGCATAACACAGAATTGCACTGGACAGGCCTACTAACACTTTGAGTGTGGGGTATTTTTGGAGCATGGGTAAGTGAAACCATGGATATTGATCTATGGCAAAGCAGGACATTCTGTATTCTTCTTCGTCATTCCTGTGTCTCAGACTAAGGGTGCTTCATGCAGGTGCTACGTGACCTTCCAATTTCTAAATGGAATAGCATGAGATAATAAGGCACCATAAAAGGGCTCAAGGACAGAGGAGTGTGTGATCACTATAAAATAGACATATTTTTTAGAAGGGGTGAAGACTTCATACCAAGATGTGATTGTTGCTTTGGAGGAGGTTTCATATGCTTCAGGGAGACAAGGAAGTTTGAACATTGGGCAGCAGAAAGGAGATTAAAAGAATGAAATCGATTGAAATAATTCTGATAATGGCTGCTTTTGCTCAATGAAGTGACATGGTACCTTCCTCCCAAAGCCACTTATCTAGGAATGCCACACTGCTGGCTGTTGGCTCAGTTATAATATGTCTTAAGCTTCTTTTCCAACAGGATCTGAAGTAGTCATACACCTTGAGACAATTGTGTGTCTCAATTCCCAAGGTAGCCCACTCTCTTGCTTGTTTTACAGGGTGTGTATTATTCAGTGACAAGTTAATGATGATTAATTGTGGTGACAGGTCAAACAACAAAGCTTAATAACCCACTCTGTATAATCTGCATGTAGTTCTTTGCTCAATTGTGCCCATTTGCTTGTGTTAGTGAGCAAATGAATCAGGAGCATAGTTATTTTATTTATTTGAGTTATTAGTTGGCTGCTTTATAAAATGCATTTTGTAAATGACATGCAAAATGAATATAAAAAATAGTCAAGTCCAAAGCAAAGAATAAAATAAGTATTAGTACAATACTAGATATAGAATTACAGTTTAATGCAGGCATGGGCAAGCTTTGGCTCTCTAGGTGTTCTGGACTTCAACTACCACAATTCTTAACAGCAGGTAGCCTGTTAGGGATTGCGGGAGTTGAAGTCACAAAACACCTAGAGGGCCAAAGCTTGCCCATGCCTGGTTTAATGTCTGAATCTGGCTTCTTTGGAAGCTGTTAACTATAGTTTGTGGTTGTAGGGATCAAGAAGCTATGGTTAATTGCAGATCCTTTTTTCTTTCTGTGCACAGACACATGAGTGAAATGGTAACAAAAGAATTGCATATGGGAATACAGGCCTGATGCAGGTTTCATTTGATCTAACCAAATTATAATAATCCAGATTATTCAGTGTCTCTCTGTGTTTCATTAAAAATGTGATGCTGCATTTGGTTTGTGTATGGTGTTTTCTCTTGTCTAGCATGAGGACTTACTGCATTTACAGAAATAAATGTGTTTTTCACACTTTTTATAAGAATGGCACTCTCTTTGTATTGTCAAAGGCTTTCATGGCTGGAATCACTGCGTTGATGTAGGTTTTCGGGTTGTATGTCCATGTTCTAGAAGCATTATCTCCTGGCGTTTTGCCTGCATCTGTGGCAAGCATCCTCAAAGGTTGTGAAGTTTGCTGCAGGCGAAATGTCAAGCGAGAATGCTTCTAGAACATGGCCTTACAATCTGAAAAACCTACAACAACACAGCACTCTCTTTCTTGTAAAAATGTTACAGCTTCAGTGAATTGAGTAGTTTGCTTCATGTTTTTTGTTGAAAAATCAAATGTGTCATCTTTCTACCCACAAACAACTTAAAAGCCAGAAAGCTATCTTTGGCAAGATACTTTTTTTCTCCTGGACCCATTACCATGTGTCATGGAAATGTAAAGGAACTTCTATTTATATTTGAAGAAGGTTAAATTCAAGGAGGCAGCATTTTTAGTGTTGCTTTTACATAGTGCTGTTCAGCATGGCTCTTAGTCCAAACAATGCATGTGGTGCCAGTGTGTCTACCATTAAATAGTAGACAGCTTTTTTATAGCACACACACACAGTAGCCGTATGTTTGCAGGCTGAATCTGTGCATTTTTTCAGCAAATAACTCACAACTATTTATAGTAGGATATACTTTTGAAATTATAACTCTGTATCTATTGTGGACTTTGTATTATCCTTTTAGATGCTTCTGGTGTACTTTGTGTTTGCCACCCACTTCGTTATGCAGAAGTTATTTTCAACCACTAATTCAGGAGATGCTACTTTTTGTGGTTCACTAATCCACAAAAGCTGTATCAGCCAAATTGGCAGGACCATACGTTTGTAAACATTTTTTGCAGTATGTCTATTTAGTGGTATGGACAATTCAGTCTTTGTGAACAAGACTGTATTGTGTTGTATTGCTTTATTTATACCGTCGCCCTTTTTCCCTAGGATTTTACTCTTGGAGTAAGTGTCAATCTGGATCTATCAGAATTATGTTTGATGAACAATTTAGTTACAACCAAATACTTCAGTTGCATATACTGGTACATATATACAATGCTACCTAGGGTGAAGCTAACTGTCTTGGCCAGATTTCTTCAGGGGATTTTATGCCATTTATGAGGCTGATAGTATGTGACTTGCCTAAGATTGTCTAATGGTTTTCCATGACTGAGAGGGAATTTGAACCCTAGTCTGTCAGAATTAACCAATACATCATACTGGCTCTCTACCACACTAGTTCTGCCGCACAATATGAGTCTAGCACAATTGATTTAACACACATGTACTATTTAATTGAACCAAGTGTGGATAAGAACTTGAAAGAGGACATGAGTGTGTAATTAAATGTCAAGAAGACTAATCAGTTTAAATTCTAATTAACATTTAATTGTTAACAGTGTGTCTCTGCGAAATTTTTAAGGACCATGCTAGGGACCATTCTTCACATTGAAGTTTGCTTATATCATTCTTCTGCTCCCTCTCTTTTGACTTATTGCTCTCCTAACTTGTATTCCAGAGCAGGAACAACTCTATTTAATCAACACACCAGTTCAGTAAAATCAGCAAGCAGTTTATTGAAGGATATATGTAAGCAAAGCAGTAAAAATGGTAGAAACAGTATTGCCCAAAACAGTATAGTACAAAGATACTAGATAGTCCATAAACTTCAAGGTACAAAGGTAAAAACACAGGTTCCAAGGATGATGATGATGATCATCATCATCATCATCATCTCCCCAGGGGGACTCAGGGCGGTTTACAACAAAAATAACAGAGTGACAAACATTCAGTGCCAAAGCGAACAAACAACAAATCAATGAGCTGCCACGGCCTGCTGAAGGCCCATGATGAGGCCTTCTTGGGCCAGGCCTGCTGAAGGGCGTTGACGAGACCCTCCAGGGTCCGGTCTGGTGGAGGGCGATGACGAGGACGATTATGATGCTAAATTGAGAGAACCAAGACAACATGGAATTCCAAGACACAGAACAGAAACTTAGCAAACTTGAAACATGAAACTAGAAATCCCCTTGGAGACAAGATGTTCATGAAACTCCAGCTTTGCCCAGACTAATCTAAAATCCTTTCCCCGTCTCATTTAAAGCTTTTTCTGTCTCATGAAGTGAAAGGAACATATTCTGTTTACCTTTACAACCAGATAAGGATTTCTTCTCTATCTTTTCTAATAAATGGGCTGACCTTCGGTGAGCTTGGGCACTCTGTCCTAGTTTACAAAAGTTTTGCCTTCTATCGCATTAACTTCTGTACCTGATAATTCATGCTCAGAAGATAGTTCCCCAGAGAAAGGCTGCTGTGGGCCCTTTTAGGAATCTGACCTTCAAAATCTACAGGAGAAACATTCCATTCATTTTCAAGACTTGAAACCTCAGACCTTTCAGCAAGGCCAGGACTTGAAAGCTCAGGCTCAGAAAAACCATCATCCCCATTGACATCAGACACAATCACAGACATCAGACACAATCACATGGATAATAAGATTAAGAGGAAACATGATAGCCACATTTAAATACTTGAAATGATCATATTGAAGAGGGGGCAAGCCTCTTTTCTGCTGCTCTAGAGACGTAAGACATGGATCAATGGATTCCACCCAAAGGTTAGGAAGAACTTCCTCAAGGTCAGTTGTTCAATAGTGGAATATACTGCCTCAGAGTGTGGTAGATCTCTTTCTCTGGAGGTTTTAGGCAAACGTCAATGGCCGTCAGTTGGAAGTGTTTTATTGGACATTCCTGTGTGGCAGAAGCTGGATGGCTTTTGTCGTCTCTGCCAACTCTATGATTCTACGACGTTCATGCCTTTAGAAGTTTCAGTTTTCAGATAGTTAACTATGCAGTGATGTACTGAAGTGTTAGGGTTGACAGGAAATCCACCCCCTCCAATAAATTTAGACCAAAATGGATCTGAAGCTCACAGCCTATTGTTCCAGCTCCCTACAGCTGGAGGTTTAATAGAAAAGCAGAGGTGCTGCGGGAGTAATGAAGGTGGGAGAGAGTCAACTGGTGACTTTGGGCTTCTCATTTGACCTTGTCATGCGCACATAGATATTCAGTTGGCTGCAGGAGAGAGTGTAGAACCATTCTTCCTCCTTCACTTCCTAGGCTCTTTAGCCCCCGTTGAGCCAGGAACAGTGGCTGAGG